TTAGTCTTGTATATTGTAATCTGAGGGAAAAAAGAATCTATCGAGCCAGGCACAGGGTTGGGAGAGGTACACTGAGTGTATGACCCACATGCAAAGTCTTTGGAAAGTTCCTATCTGGGGAGCTTTGGTTTGAGATTCCAAACCATGGCTGTGGGAGAGATTACTTAGCTGTGCATGTTTACTCTCAGGGTGTGACAATATAAAAAGGTTCAGCCAGCCCCAGGGTTCGGGAGGATGGGGAGCACTAAGAGCAGGTTAGTGATGTGAATAAACTACCAAAAACACCAAAAAGGCTCAAGAGTGTGTTTTATTAGATGACATAGTATTCACTTACAGGGAATCTAGAAAACAAATTTTTCTCCCTGTTGTCTCTCATTTTGTTTTGATTCTAACAAAGAAGAATCTAGTTTATATGTATAAGGTCTATAGGAGAAAACTGGCAGAGGGCAACAGAAAGAAGATACAGTTAAAGAATTGATATAATGTAATTAATACAAAGCCTTGGAAGAAAGGTGAGGCTATGAGATCCAAAGAGTTCATTTTTACAAAGTGATATGAAATAATTTGAGAGTAAAAAAATAAAGCCTCTGTTCATTGCAACCTTATTTACAATAGCCAAGATAAGTGTCCTTGGATAAATAAATGAATAAATAAGATGTAGTATATGTAAATAAAGGAGTGTCATGCAGCAATAAAAAGGAATGAAATATTGCCATTCTTGAAGACATTGATAGACCTGGAGGTTATTATAAGTGAAATAAGTCAGACAGAGAAAGATAAACAGCTCTAAAGACAAGCTCTAGTCAAAGGAATCACAATTAGCCCACCCTGCTTATTTTCCTTCAAATGGAGCCAAGTCGTACATATAAGTTGAACCTAAACAAAATAAATGAACAAACAGAACAACAAAACAAAACAAAAACACACAAAAAAAAAACACACACACACAGACTTATAGAAACAGACATCAAAGGGATGGTTGCCAGAGGGAGGGGGATGGGTTGCTAGAGAAACAGGGGATGGGTGAAAAAGGTAAAGGGAGGTATAGTCAATAATATTGAGTGAAGTTTGCATGGGACAGATGATTACTAAATATAAATGTTGAATCACTATATTGTATACCTCAAACTAATATAATTAATATAAACTTTTTTTAAAGGGAAAAAAAAGTATGTGGAAGACACTCCATTTAGGCTTACCCAGAAGTTAGGGGGCAGAGTCAGCGAACGGGCTTATGGAACATAGAAAGTTCACATTGCTGCGGTGGAGGGGCCACCTGAGAGCCTCATAAGCAAGAGGGTTTCTGCATTCTGGTGGGGCCGGATCACTGGCGTGTCCAGAAATTCTAATCAGCACAATGTAATGGCATCTACAGCAATAGCTGGCAACTTGAAAAGGTTTTTTGCAGTTAGAGATGCAGTCCTACACTTGAGCCAAGTTCAGCTCACCATAATGGATCTGCCACGGACCGAGTTGTAACAATGGGATAAACTCACACCTCATAGCAGAATCACCTCACAGTTTTAGAAACAGCTCTAAAGACAAGCTCTAGTCAAAGGAATCACAATTAGCCCACCCTGCTTATTCTCCTCCAAATGGAGCCAACTCGTACTGTTTTATATCAAGATCCTTAAGTCTTCCAGATGGAAGAAATCTAGTCCAACCTCTCACCTATCATGACTTTAGTTTTAGAAATCCGTGGCAGAAACCATCAGCATACCCTGGCACCCATGGGCTCCTCTCCACTTCTCAGCTCCCTTTGCAATACATATGAGGCCACGTTGCTAACCTCTGAGCAATGGGACGATGGTGAACCTGATTTAAGTCACTCTCAGGCCTGGCGCTATCTTGGATGGAGGAGGACCAGCCAACCTGCACCATATTAGACCCTGCTTGAGTGATGAGTAATGTCCCATTATGTCACTCACTGACATCTGTGGATTTGTCCATTTCAGCAACAGCAAGCATTCACTGCTTTTCAGAGTTGTCAACTGTGCCAGAGCAAATGATGGAGGTTATTATCATCCAAAGGATTAAAAACAAAACAAAAAATAGAAGCGGTCATGAAGCTTATATTTACAATATAGTAGCATCTCGCTTACCTAAAAGTGATTGGAGACATCTATACGTATAAAAAGCCAGCCACCTGAACGCTGAAAGGACCAGGCGCCCAGAGACAAGAACATTATGCCCCTTACCCAGGCAGGCCCCGCCCCCCAGAGAGCGAGTTAGGAGGGTCCCTAGGATGCGAGTTTGATGGAGAAAAGTCAAAGAAATAGGAAGGTCTAAAGGGTCTGCGAGGTTAGAGTGGTCGGCCCAGAGTAGGTTTGGGGTATGCTGAAGAAGGAAGAGGAAGACCTGATTGGAAAATGGCTCAGCACAATACCTTTCTCATTGCGAACCAGGATGGCTCCATCAGTGAACTGAATGGGCGGTTGTTTCATGAATGCGCTCGGGACCCACATGTTCATGGCAGTGGCAGTACTCCGGAAAGTTCAGTGATTCCAAATAGTAAACAGCCATCAACGACAAAACAGAAAAATCCTCTCCAACTAGAGGCCCTGGACGTTGCAACTGGACTGAAGGAAACACCACTTAAGGAGGAGCTAGAGAAACCTGAAGTGTGCAACCAGAGGATTGTGGGACTGTGGAGAATGCCAGGGCGCCTACTGCTAGACCATGAGCCTGTTATTTATTGCGCATGTGCATAGCCAGCCTATTGTCCTCAGTCTGGCAATATTTGGACTCCTGGTGGAAAATTATTCTATTGAGGTTTGCTGTTCCCTTGCAGTGAGGAAGGTCAGAATTAAAGGTTTTGTTTATTACGTTGGTTTGAAGTGGAGGAAAATGGGATAGTGATGAATAAGAAACTTTGGAGATAGTGAAGGGCAATTTGTCCAAACTGTTGAGAGCTTAGAATTAGAGTTTAATTGGGATAGAAATCCTGCTAACAGCACCTGATGCCTGAAATCTCAGCACTGTAATACATATAGGTTTTCCAGTTCAAGTTTTTGGAGACTGCCTATTAAAACATTCCTGGTTGGAAAGTGTTTATATAGAAGTCCATAAGTATAACATATTTGCTGTGTTTACCATGCTTAGCTCTCTGTAAGGAATATGAATAATGTTAAACACCTCGTGTTCTCAAGAAGCTTGAATTTTAAAATAAAAAATAAAGAAGAAATATAAATGTTAAAAATAAAAAAAGAAGAAGCTTGAGTTTTAGGGGCAAAATCAGGCAGGCAGGTGAGCAGTTAGGGGTGATCAGGAAGGCAGGCAGAACACTTAAGGGCGATCAGGCAGGCAGATCAGGCAGGCAGGCAGAACAGTTAGGGGCAATCAGACAGGCAAGTGAGCGGTTATGAGCCAGCGGTCCTAGATTGTGAGAGGGATGTCTATGGGATAAGGCCTAAACCAGAAGTTGGACAGCCCCCAACAGGTCCGGGATTGTGAGAGAATGCAGGCCAGGTTGAGGAATCCCCTCCACCCATGCATGAGTTTCATGCACCGGGCCTCTAGTAACTAATAAAAGCCAAAGGGCTCTCCTCACCCCCCAACTAGGAAATATGCCTTTGAGGTCTTCAAACAACCCAGCCTAAGAGTGAACTACAGCTTCAGAGCTTCGCTCACTAGTTAGCCTCTCCAGCTCTATTTATTTACTCAAGTTTTCTTGGAGTAAATAAACCAGTCTTGGCAATCTGGCTTGTTATTTCACATCAGACAAGAAGTAGGAAATTGGAATCAATAAGCAGAGTGGTCCTAGAAAGGAACATATCACAACATCCTAAGAGTGAAGGAGGGATCAGAACTCTAAAAGGCAATACCCCCAAAAAGAAGGTCAGAGAGCCCCACCTTTTTGTCATTAATCCTCACCCTAAAATATGTTTCCCATTGACTTTTTAAAGAGACTAGAAGGGAGGGGAGGAGGAAGGAAGAAAAGGAGAGAGAGATGTGAGAGAGACATCAATTGGTTGCCTCCTGCACTTGCTCCAATGAGAGGGCTGGGATCAAACCTGCAACCCAGATAAGTGCCCTTGACCAGGAATTGAACCCAGGACCCTGTGGGGCCTGGGATGACACTCTAACCACTGAGCAGCCCTGGCCAGGACAAGATCCCTTTTTATTAAGGATGATTTGAGCCTCCCTACTCTTCATGGTCCTGGAAAGCATCACTGGAGGAGCTTGGCTCACGAGAGATAAAAAGGACTTGATTGCCGGGACTGACGGGCAGACCCTGAGCAACAGATGAACAGACTTGGCTATCGAAACCGCATAGCCCTGTTCGCCTGCCTCTTTTGGCTTTTATTGTCATTACAGATTGAACTAAAATTAAACTCTAGATACAATTAGCAGGGTTAGTATCCTTGAGAAAGTATATGCTTCTATAAGGTCGAATCTTTAAAGACTAAACATGGAGATTCTAGTAGAACACCCCAGGGGATCGGACTTGTTTGGAAAAGTCAAGGTATGGGCTGCCGCCCTGGGCAAGGTCCCCTCAGAGGCCCTGACCTTTCGGAGAATCCTCCTTACAGATACTCCAGCCAATCCCGTGCTCCCCCACACTTGATGTCCTCAACTGGCCTTTGCAGGCAGGACAACATGTAGGAAGTCTCTGGAAAGAGTTACTCAAAAACACTTTCAGCGTTTAAAGGCATGAATTTGTTCGAAAAACTAATTGTGCCCTGGCTGGCATTGATCTTTGGGTGAGGATCAACAAACCAAACAAAACTAATTTGTGAAGGCCACTTTACTTCCCTAGGATACCACATAATGATGCTCAAAATTATGAGATATTGTCACTCACCTACTGTTTGAGAATGGGTGGTTCCTACCAATTTGGGTAAACATATCTAACATTCAGGAAGCTGGATCCACAAGCAAAAGCAAGATCCAAGTTATTATGTGACATGGAAAGGGCCCTAGAGATCATTCAGCCCAAGCCCCTGGCAGAAAGGTTAGGTAGCCAGAGGGCACCCATGCACCTCACCGTAGAGGAGGAGCTAGAACCCCTGTTCCCCGATATCAAGCTGGGATATGACCACGACCACCGCATCCCAATTCTCCTTCCCTGGACAGACACACAGCCACTCCATCCCTTCTCCTCTGATCCACAGGCCCGAGGCACTCACCTGCAGAAAGCAGTGTCCCATCTGGGCGTGCTCCAGAAGGGTGGCGTTATACACCTGCCTCCAGAAGATGGGCTCGTTGTCGTTCACATCACTCACGGTGATGCTCACCAGGCAGGTCGCAGACAGCGGGGGCTCTCCCAGGTCTCGGGCCACCACTCGCAGCTCGACAGCCTCCTGAACTTCTCGGTCCAGAACCCGGATAGTGCTGATCAGGCCGGTGTCTGGATCTATGGTGAAGGATGGTCCGCACTCCGCCACAGTAGACAGCTGAGCCTCTGGGCTGCAGCGCCCGGGGAGGTGGACCAGCGCATAGCGCAGCGTGGCGTGGCCGGTGCCAGCCTCGTCCGCGTCGGAGGCGCTCACCCACAGGACGGCGGTGCCAGGGGCCGCGGCCTCGGACACTGAGGCCTGGTACTGCTCCTGGCTGAAGAGGGGCGGCTGGTCGTTGAGGTCGGAGATCCGGAGCAGCAGTGTCTCCTCCGTGCTCAGCGGTGGAGACCCCGCATCGGTGGCCACCAGCCGCAAATCATACAGGTCTCGGCTTTCCCTGTCCAGGGGGCCCTCGACGCAAAGGAAAAACACCCCCGGGGAGCCGCCAGGCCTCAGCGCGAAGGCCCCCTCTGTGCCTTCCAAGGTCAGAGAGATGGTCCTGTCCCCAGGGCTCAGATCAAACTCCCCAGCTGCCTCCTCCTCCTTCTCCGGGTCACCTTTGTCCCCGTCGGAAACTGACACTCGAGCCACGTAGTCGCCAGGCCTGGCGCCTTCGGAGACTCGCGCTGCGCCCCCCTCGGTGAGGAAGAGCAGGTGAATGGTGGGGCGGTTGTCATTCACGTCCAGCACGGCGATGGACACCCGCACCGTGGCCACTTCGGGCTCCGCACCCCCATCGCGGGCCTCCACCACCAGCTGGTGCCAGGCCTGGGCCTCGCGATCCAGCGGCCTCTGCACTCGCACCGCGCCGCTCAGCGGGTCCACGGAGAAGTGGGCTGCGTCCCCCGGCGGCCCGGACGCCTGGCGGGAGCGGAGGCGGTAGCGCACGTGGCCGTTGCGCCCCAAGTCCCGGTCCGTGGCGCGCACGCGGCAGACCTCGGCGCCCGGCCGAGCATCCTCGCGCACGGCGGCGCGGTATTCGTCCTGCTCAAACACCGGGGGGTTGTCGTTCTCGTCCAGCACGCGCAGCTCCACCCGCAGGCGGCCTGTGCGCCGCGGGCGGCCCCCGTCCCACGCCTCGATCTGCAGCTCGTGCGCCGCGGCCGTCTCTCGGTCCAAGCGCCGCAGCAGCACCAGGTCCAGGGGCTCCAGGGGCGATGGTGGCGGTGACCCGGGGGTCCCGTAGCGCAACCGGAAGAAGGGTCCTGCGGGGTCCTCCTCGGGGAGGTCGGACGGTTGCAGGAGAGTGTAGCCCTGCGTGCTGAACAGCCCCGCGTCCGGGTCGTGGGCACCCGGCAGGCGGAAGGCCGTGCCGGGAGGGCTGAGCTCGGAGACGTCCAGCCGCAGGGAGTCCCGGGGAAAGCGGGGCGAGTGGTCGTTGACGTCGTTGACGCAGATTTCCACCTGCACCACGGCGCCCAGCAGGGTGGCGGCCACGAAGCTGTAGCGGTCCCGCCGCTCGCGGTCCAGGCTCCGGGCCGTGCGGATGATGCCGGTGTCCGGATGCACGTGGAAGGCGTCCAGCAGCGGGGAGTCGTGGGAATCCTCGGACAGAAAGAAGCCGCCCGCCTCCTGTTGCTGCGCCGCCGGCAGCCCGGCGCGGATATCGCCGACCAGGGTGTCCGGGGGAAGCCCCTCGTCCACGGAGAGGCTGAGGTGGAACACCTGGGCGGAGGAGCCCGAGGCCGCCCACAGCCACGCGTGCATGAGGAGCCCGAGCAGGAAGCGCTGCGCCCCGGCGCCGCCGCCGCCGCCTCCCGGCCGGCCGCCGGGCCACCCTCTCCTCTCCCGCCGGCGCCCTGTGCCCACCCTCCGCGCAGACCGCGCAGACCGGCTCATCGCTCTGCCAGCTCCTGGGGGAAGGCTCCCGGGGAGGAACAGCCAGCTTGCGGTAGGATGACAGCAAAATCCAGCCGCCTCTTCGGGGTCTGAGCCAAAGGAGGAAAAGACTTCGTGTGTCCAACACACCGACAGACCCAGGAGTTTCCGGGATCGCATCTGCAACTGGTGAGCAGGTCCTCCGCTCGCAGCTCCCGCAGAGGGGGGCGCTGGATGCCACTGGCGCTGCGGCCACCTCTTCAGCCCCGGGATTTCCTTAAAGGAATCTCATGTGGTTTTTTTTGTTTTGTTTTGTTTTGTTTTTTCCTCCCCCTTCTCCTGTTCCTTCTGCCTGGGCCGATCGTTTCCCCCTGGTAAAGTCAGGTGCATGCTTCTTTTGCCAAAAAGGATGCGATTATCTAAGGCGCGCACACACAGAGAGAGGAGGGGTCGGGCAGGAGAAGGGGGTGGAGTAAGGGCAGGGAGGCGGAGGGTGGGGGCGCCGAGCCGGAGCAAGCAAGGGAGGAAATAAAGGGGGGAGCGGCGGGTCGGGCAGCGGCGCCATGGGCTGCAGGGGAGCGGCTGCTCTCCACCGCGTCTCAGGGCGCCTTCTGCGATTCAGCCTCGGGCGCCTCCCCTCAGGTCTCCTTCCCGGCGGGTGACGCAGCGCCCGCGAGGGCAGATGCCAACCTGCCGGTCCCCGCTCCGCAGCCGGCGCCTTAGCAGTTGGGCCAGGGACCGAGGAGGAGGAGGAGGAGGGAGCAAAGGAGAAAGGACCTGAGATTTGGGGCGCCAGACGGGTGGGGGAGGCGCAGGCGGGCATCTGCCCCGGCTTTGCGTGCAAAGAGCCGATGGTGGCGGAGGCGTGGCGGGGGCGGGGGGGGGGGGGACAGCCCTCCCTCTCCATCCCTTGGACCGCCAGTCCCTTCCCTTCCACAGGCCAGACGCTTGGCTCAGCCTGAGCAGAGGGCGGGGGTTACACTCACTTTGGGGAGCCAAACTTGTGTTCTCCATTTGGCCAGGGAGACAGACTCGTCCCCAGCGGAAGGACAGATGGAGTCGAAAGCGGATGCACAACTGGGGCCAGGGTAACTGTACAGCAGGGATGGTGGAACTTGGAAAAGAAAAACCCTTCGAGAAACCCTGAGAAATGTGTGACACACATGGTGTGTAAGCCACGCTTTGCTGTGCCGCGTTACTGCTCCGGAACACGAGAGCGTCTTGTCACTCCCCTCTGCCCCCAGGAACAAGACAGCGGATTTGGCTCTCCAACACTTTTTGTATATTCAGCGCCATCGTGACACTTCCAGGGTGCTTTCAGATGCTGATTTATGGGCTGAAAGACTGAGTGGCTGAGGCCCCACCACCTCCCAGCGCCCCACTGTCTCCTCTGAGCAAAGAAGTTGGGAAGTAGAGCCACTACCCTTACCAGTTTCAACGCAGTTTGTGGCTGAGCCCCAGGAAAATGCCAATAAATGGCCACAGTCGCAAGTTTCCCGTAAGTTGTCCATAATAATTGCTAGGAATTGATAAATGGCCTCTAAAGAGGAATGCCGGAAGAAGGACTCGGTGCCCTGTGAAGAATGGCTGGCCATATTTCAGCAAATGGCTTCTGCAGTTTTGCATTTAGACTGGAAGGGAGAATTAATTTTCCTCAATATTGTGGCTCTCCTTTAGGGAGGACCAAAAGCCCCGTATAGTGGCTCCTTGAAACAACAGTAAGATGCCTTTTTAATACATAGTGGCGTTATATATAATTGCTAATCTGCACCCACGTCATTCATCTCCATCCCTCACATAATAATAATAATAAAACAATTTTATAGCAGATAATGTTACATGTAAATGGAGACATTATTAAAATAAGTTCAGCTTCCTTTCATCAGTAAAGTCCCCTTAAAATGAAGGAGATGTGTTAAGAATCTTCAGTTTCTTTTGCCTTAACCTTTTCAAGCTCACCCTGCCTCCATTATTGCCCCTTTGTAAGTAACTCTCAGCCAAGCATTTGGATTAATATGTTTAAACTTGGCACTATATTGCCAGCCTGGTGTGGTTCAGTGGTTGAGCTTAGACCTATGATCCAGGAGGTCATGGTTGAATCCCCATCTGGGCACATGATCAGGTTTCTGGCTGGATCCCCAGTAGGGGGCATGCAGGAGGCCTGCAGGGGGCAGCCAATCAATAATTCTCTCTCACCACTGATGTTTCTATCTCTCCCTTCCTCACTGAAGTCAATAAAAAATATACTTTAAAAATAAATAAATAAAAATGGACTTGCCAATATATTTCCATTATATGTGGATTATAATTCAGACTCCTTTTAATAGTACAAGATTTAAGCTAACATGGCCCTACCCACCTTTCTCACTTCATTCACTCCTGGCCCAGCTGCACTGCCCTCTCTGATCTTGGTACCTGTTGTGGATTGAATGTTTGTGTCTCCCAAGGATTCATATGTTGAAATTTACCCCCTAATGTGATGGTATGATGAGGCGAGTCTGAGAGGAGACTAGGATCCGATGAGGTCCTGGCATTAGTGCCCTTATAAAAGCTATGAGAGAGTTTGCTGCTCCCTGCTCCCCACCCTGTGAGATGCAAAAGTTGCAGGCAGTGGCAACTAGCAAGAAACCCTCACCACAACTTGACCTTGCAGGCACCCTGATCTCTAGTTTCCAATTTTCAGAGCCATGAAAAATAAATGTTTGTTGTACATAAGCCACCTAGTCTGTGGTACTTTGTTACAGCAGCTTGAATGGACTAAGACAGTCTAAGTTTGAATTATTCAAACCTTTACAGAAAGGAGTTATTTCTTCAGTTTTACGAATATTTGGCTCTTTCTCTTTTTAGGTCTCAACTCAAATGCTTCCTTGACCACCTTAGCTCAAGTAGCTTCTGAACCATAAACCCTGTATCTTTATATACATTTCATTCTCAGCACCTATCAGTACCTTAAATTTACTTATTTTATTCATTTGTTTATTCGATTATTGTGACCTTAACCTTCTTTACACACTCTAAGCACTATTTTATCCTAGCACCTACAACAGCATGCAGTACAAATGGGTTTCTAGTCACTATGTGTTGGATGACTGGATGAATGGTTGAGTGAACTGAAGGGAAGATGAAGGATAAGTCTGCTGAAGGAGGAGTTTGAAACCATAACTCAGAATTAATTTGCCGTGAGATTCTTTACTGTGATGAATTGTATCTTCACAATTTACTCATTTTTAACCATTCTCTGGGCGCTTCATGGACTTATTTTTGAGCTCCTTCAGTATACTGTATTTTGCAAACTGTACTATTATCGAATATTTACTTGAATCTAAAAATAAAGGAAAGGTGGATAATTGTTTCTGCATCATTCAGTGACACATTCTTTGTAAACATTGGTTTAGTTTAGAAACAAAAGAAAAATCAGGAACTTTAAGCATCGATTTTTCATTAGTTTCTAAGCTCTACTGCCCATTTCTCAAATGGGCAGTAGAGTGTCCTGAGCAGCATTCTAGCATAGAGAATTCAGTTTAGTTGAGTAAAAGATATAAGAGCATTCTCAATTATGCAAAAAGGAAATAGTTTTAGATAGCACAGAAGCCAATAGCCTGCAAGAAATAGGTGAAGGTCTGACCCTTGAGAGAAATGTCAGAGAGAAACTGGCAAGAATTGGGGCTTTGAAGTGAGCAATTCTGGTTCTGCTCTATAATTTTGAGCAGATTATTTCAACCTTGTTAAGGCTCAGTTTCCTCTTCTGTAAAATGGGGGTTAAAATACCTAATCTACAAGAATGTTATGAGCCTTAAATGAGACAGTGAGTGTGAACTAGCACATAGAAGTCAATATTATTTCTTTTGCTCTCTGTGTAATGAAATATTTGGGGAGAAGTGTTTTGGGATTCTCAGTAATATCAAATTCTGACTTTTTAGCCCCCCTATTAAGGTGTAGAGAGGGAAAATGTAAAATTCCCAGTGTCATGAACAGACCCTGTCATGGGCAAAAAGGCCCAGAGCAGATCTTCACCCAGCATGACACAGTTGAAGTAGAACAGGAAGTCCACTGTCAAAACACTTTCTCCCAGATGGTAGACAGTTCTTAGCTTTGTAATTATTAAATAGTCTAAAAAGTTACTGTAGAGGGCTGTCTGAGAAGGCACATGGACATCCTTTAAATTGTCAGCTGAGCCCGAGGCACTGGCAGAATCCATGTCCTGGTTACACCCCACAAGAGGGCTGTGGGTGTTTCTGACTTTCCTTTGTACAGGTGTCAGCAGGGGCGGGTCTAGATATGTAAATCCAGTAATGCTAGGGCCTAGTTAAGAATGCAAATAAGCTCCTTTGACCCTATAAAATAAACCTGCTGCGTTGCTTGGGGGCTCGCTGCCTCTCCATCAGAGAGGAAGAACGGCGCCCACCTGGCTCCCAGCTTGATGAATCTATTTCTACCTCTTGGTCTCTCTCTCTCTCTCTCTCTCTCTCTCTCTCTCTCTCTCTCTCTCTCTCTCTCTCTCTCTCTCTCTTTTTTTTCCTTTAATTTCTTAATCCCCAGCTCCTCCACTCAGGAACCTGACTGTTTCCTTTTCTGTGATGGAGATGGACATGGAAAACAGAGAAACAGCCCCCCACAAGTTACTAAGTGCTCAAGGCAGTGTTCAAAGCATCTCGAATTAACCTTTTAGGAAAATAATTATAATTATTATCTCCATCTTACAGATGAAACTGAGGTTCAAGAACATTGCCAGTAGCTTGACCAAAGTCACAACACAAGTATAAGTGTCAGAATGTAAGCCCAGATAGCACTGCTCCAGTGTCCCTGGCCTTTTGAGCTCTTCATTGGTCATTTATCATCTCTGTGATTTTTCTGCTTAAAGCAGATTTTTGGCTTCTGAATTCTCCCTAAAATCAAACAGTGAAATAGTAACAGTTTTGGAAAGACCCGGGAGGACAACAAAAAAAGAAATTTGGACAGCATTTTTGTGGGAATGGTGGATGGCTCAGGAAAATAGCCACAGGAAATAATTCTCCACAGGTACCAAGAGACCACTGTAGCTAAGTTTTGGGGAAATCAGGAGTTATATGAGGATTTTCAACTGTGTGGGAGTTGGACCCCCTAACTCCCATGTGTTCAAGGATCAACTGTAATTATTTTATCTGATTCTTTGGGAAGATGGGAAACAACTTTATGCTGACATTTTATCATATGGTTGGAGAGAAGTATAATAGCTTATCATTAAGTAATGTTAGATATGCTGTATCGAATCCTATTTTTCAAATCCTGTAAAAGCTGGAATGTAAGAGGTGCATATGCTAAAGTTCCCTCCCATTTGAAAATGATCCTAT